AAGCCCCGCAAAATAGGCCAGAATACGTATTAACTCGATAGCCATAGCCCGGTGCCGAAGGATTCTATCATTATTCAGATGTATCTCCAGTCGCAGCTGTTTCTCCAGCAGAACCACTCGGTACGATTGATGGTACACCAATCAGTCAGCCGAACAGCTCATTATATGGACTGAACTCGGATTTAATTGAATGTGGAGGCTGGTGGAGTCAGTGGATGCCGTATTACCAATTTACAGCCTCTCAACACTCTTTCTGAGATGCTGCTAACAGAATTGTGAAGGTAACTACACTGGAGGTAACGGAGTTAATCTGAATCGGGGTATTATTGAACGCAATCGGAACCGGCAGCAGTTTCAGGGAGATTAATAATCGATTCCGGTATGACACAGTACTGCAGCCAGTATCGAGATCTTGGACCAACATTTGGATAATGTTGAAAATTCTTCCATGCAAGATGTGGATAAACGGATTAAAAGTTAGGATTTGAGAATAATGATAAAGAAAAAGACCAGTACTAGTCAATTTGTTACCGTAAATGACCAATCTTAGTGGTTTCCTGGGTCGCCTGTTTATTTATTACTTCCTTCCACTTCCTTAAAGTCGATGACCGGTAACAAGCTCGTTGAATATTATCTTAGAATTAAGTATCACAACTTTTTTCCGTCCTTGACTTGAAAATGTAAACACACAGTATCAAAAGTCATAAGTGCAGGGTTGCCAAACTCATGGTTTACTGAGACTGATACCTTGACTGCCACACTTCGGCACGTTCGGCACAACGCTAGACCTAGCTTTTGGCACAGATTGGGATGTGCAAAGTTGAACACCGCTTGCATTGAGCTGAATGTGTAACCAGGTTGTATTTAGGAAAGAGCATGATTGTAGCAAAAAAATATTTCATAAGCAATGAGCTTTATAAGAAAAATAAGATCTGTGCTTGAATACAAAATAAACTTTGGATCTGCCTTGAACTTGGATGAACTTACGTGAAATAATATATATTTCATAGGTTATTCCAAAGAGAACTCCTATGCAATTTTGAAGAGTTATTATTGAAGAATTCCCATGAGACTAGAAAGTAATTCTGAAATTAAATTCAAGCGCTTTGTAAGGAAAACTTTAGGTAAATTCATTGGATAATATAAAAGTTGTTATAAGTAGAACCAAATGGTAATTCTGAAGAGAATTCCAAGGAGATTGTTAGCAAATGTCCTGGGGAATTTCAAAGAATCTTTGAGCAGAACTCAAAGAGAATTCAGTGGATACGGTTGATGTCGCTAATGTCGGCCTTAGTGTCCCTAATATTGGGCCCATACATAAATTCCAAAGAAATGCATTTTTTCAAAAGCAACCAAAAATATCCATTAAAATTTTCCAGGTGATGCATTGTCCCAAGAAAAAATAATGCACATGAGCTTTTTATCGATGGACCCAATCGTTGGACCCATAGGAACTAATTGGGTTCTTTAAGGGGATTGAGGTAAATGCATATTCGTAATCTGTATTAAAAATAGAACCCAAATCCAAAATTTCATCAATTTTGGTGCACTACCACCTTAGGGCCCCTCTGTGGCACTTTGTATGGGAGCGAGCTGTCAGTTTTTTAGTTTAGTGTCAAACTGCGAAATTAATATTTGATATAAATATTGATTTAAAAATCGAGATGAAAGTGTAGGTTTTTTGACAAAAATATCGCTGTACTCAGAAAACGAAGCTCTTTTAGATAATGTACAAAAACCGATTCATTTATAAAAATTAAAGAACCCAATTCTTGTAATTCCTAAAAATATCCAATCTCCACAAAACCAAGTAAATTCTGACCAGAGTTCCAAAGCAATGCTGACCATAATTTTTTACGAATTCTTGTTGAACGGGGCATTGCATACCTCTTCTGTACACATCGTTGATTCCCATCCTTACCTCATGGTGTTCACCTTCCATACGCGTAACCTTGGTTCGGTACGCGCTTCTTGTTGACAGCTGCTAGTAAAATTCATCTCCAACAGAAAGTATAACAACAGCGTGTATTATTTTGATCGCTTAATAAAGTTAACTTGTTTTACCTAGCTTTTTTCGCGAGTGCGTTATTTTTTTCCGTAATTCTGAATTCCTGTGTGGCATTCCACTGTGTAGTCAACTGCCGTCAATTCCAACATCAATTTCAGAAAATAGTGATAAGCGTTCGAAAGGAATCTGAATATAAAGTTGATTCGATTCCAAAGGAAGGAGCGGCTAATTAGCTGTAGATTTGAGTTGAATTCCATCGATGTTCAAACTCACAACATCTGAGGATAGTGTCATGGGAGTTTTGAGGATAACTCAATAGAATTGAAATATATTTATAACGGAATTTCGAAACAAACAACGTAACAACGGTTTTCGGAAAATTCGAGATAAATTTAAAAAAAATAGAGGAAATTCAGAAAATATTTCTGAGAATGGAATAGAACAAGTCCTGATTAAAATTACAAGGAAATCCTGACAAAAACTCCACACGCATCTTGGAAAGAGTCCAACAAGAATTCCGTGAAGAAATTCAATGGATCCTCTATCTGATAATAGCTTCAAACAAGGTTGCAACTACTCATTTCAGCTGAAATTTTTTTCGGAATAATAAAACCATAAAGATGGTATGATCACACGTTTTACTTGTTAACTACAAGAAGAGATTACAAAGTATGTGTTTGACACATAAAACCTGTAAATTTTGCTTACTATGAGTCACAAACAGCGATTTGCTGATCGCTGAGTGAGTGAGTGGATGAAAAATCACTGATTGTGACTCTCATGAAGTGTTGCCAGTGGAACCTCTCTTATTGGGACATCAGAAAACAACTCGGAATCGTGTAGTCAACGTTGAATCGTGTGATTAAACGTCACTACGAAACTCTGAGCATCGAACGGAAGGAGAAATGCGGTCGGAATGGATGTTCTATTAGTGACCAGGATCACAAGCGTATCGTGAAAGCGTTTAAGCGGAATCCCAATGCTTCGTGCAGGGATGTGGCCAAAAAGTTGAATCTGCCCAAGTCTTTCGTTCAGTGAGCCAAGGACCGGGAGGGACTGCATACATACAAAGTGCAAAAGGCTCCAAATCGTGACGAACGGCAAAATACGGTGCACCCAGATGCTGACGAAACCTCATTACCTCATCATGGATGATGAGAGTTACGTCAAGGCGGACGTCCGGTAGCTTCCGGGGCTACTGTTCTTCACCGCCCAGCACAAGTTTGATTTTCCGGAGGAAGAAAGGAAGCAGAAACTTTCAAAGTTTGCCAAGAAATACATAATTTGGCAAGCGATCTGCTCATGTGGCAAACGGAATCCGCCGTTCGTGACTACCGGGACTGTAAACGGAGAGATCTACCTCAAAGAGTGTCTACAGAAGCGTCTGCTTCCTCTGTTTTATGATATGATAGACGATGACCTTAAAGCAACGAAATGGAAATTTTAAACATTGAGTAAATCTAAATATACGAGCAAATAATAATAGTCGATAAGTTTAACGTAAATCATGCATTTATAGAAAAATAATACGCAACATATTTGAAGTAAATTAATTCATAATTTGTGAAAATCTTTGTAGTTAAAGGAAAGTAATGCATTTACTTAACAACCACATCAATTTACAACAAATTGGATTGCATATAGACTAAAATATGATCGAAATTTAAATTAATATTTATTCGAAACATTCAAACAAAAGTGAACTAAAAACTGAGTTCATATGAATATAAAGCACCTATATCAACGAATCTAATTTCAAATATGTTGTTGCAAATTCCCGACATTTTCCCGGTTTTTCCTGGTGAAAATAAGATGCCGACTGCCACCCCGAGCACATTTCAATGTAATACATCTAAATACTTTTGCACACATTGCATTACAAATCATTCTTCAAACTTCTAATTGATATACGTCCAGAAACGAATCAGAATGTTTACGTTACTCCTGTGTCCTGTAATCAGCTTGTTTACGCCTCAGACCCTTCCATATAATTCTCTACACATAAACAATTGAAGGTCAATCTACTCTCGTTGCCGGCAACGAACGGTGGCGCCCAAATCAATCGAAATCATTCCTCTCACTTGAATCACACCCCGTACCGGGCTGCAGCTGATAACTGCATTCAATAAACTCATTCCTTCATCAGCCTGGAAACTGAAATCACGTGTGTATCCAATTCAGAATCAACTCCCATCGGTCCCAATTTGCTAAACGAAGCTGACGATGATGATGATGATGACTCCGTGTCAATCAGAATAAGCCACACGCCTCAATTGTTGCCTCGTTCTTGACTCTCGTGGCCGGCAATGCTCGCTGACAGAGACCGGGACCCATCACAATCATGCACTCAACGTCTAGCTACAAAGAGGAGCACGTTGATAGCAGTCTCCGTCCAAACAATCGTGAACCCTCTGGTGACCCCCCCTCTCTGATGTGTTGTTTTGTGTTGTGGCATTGCACGTCACGAGAATGGCAATCTTTATTATTTGTTTAACACTTTGCCATCCATCTCATTCGTTTTGCGAGTAATTTCTGATACTAAATTCTTTTCTGCGGTGTTTTGTTTTTTATCAATTCATCATTCACACACTGACTGGTTCACTGAGTTGGGAAAGCGAAATCGCGCGTATTGCTCTGGCTATTATCAGCATTGAAAATCACATTTTTCACATCTCTCAGGCCACGGTTTCAAACGCAATCTTCTTATTGCAACGAATCTTCCAACTCATTACGATCTATAATTTCATTCATCCTCCTTGGCGGTGCTTGCTATTCTTCCGCATAATTTTCACTCACAATCCACTATACACCAGCCTACTAGATTGATTACCCTACAACTCATCGCCATCGATATTTTATTGCATTTTTGTTGCCTTCACTTGCGCACACACACACACTCACGACCATCGAATGCAGCCGACCCAGGTCAAGTGCAAATGCACCAAATTTCTACCGCCCACCAAACCCCACCGACCCACCGGTTCACACTTACACTTATAGTACACTCACAATCGATTCACTTTCCTTCCGGATTTCCCGGATTCGCGTCCGAACGGTTCGACGGTCAAAAATAAACTGAATTCGACGGCGAAAGCACATCTGGGTCTAGCATCATCGCAGCACATTGCGAAAATCTCCTTTGGCAAATTTAGGATTATTGAGAGCATCACTGAGCATGCTGCCCCGTGGTGATGAATGCACGCATGGCAGGATGCTTTCATTGAGAGATGAGAACTTTCCGCCGGCTGCTGAGTCTGCGAGAATGAGCGAGAGAGCTTGGGGAGTAGGCGCAAGCATTCTAGTAAATGCCGGCACGTGCGATTTCTCTCTGTTTTGATTTTCACCCAGTAGGCTACGCGATGTTTGGAAGCAAGTTTTTCAATGGAAATGGGTTGTTGCCGTTTTGGCGACAGGGTGTTGGGAAAATGTGGACACACAGCGATGCATTTATCACTTTGAACGTTTGGCAGTTAAGCTGTATTGTTATTGTTTATTGCTTTTGAATACTGGATGATATCTAGGATGATATGCATGTTTATCTACATAAATGGAAACTGAGATAATTTCTTTTAGCGTATCCAAATTCAAATCAAATAATGAAGGAAAACCCGGAAAACAAATTCTGACCAATTCAAAACAAGCTAAGGAGCAAAACATATGAATCATTTGTTTTTAAAGTCAACATAACAGAAATTCCCTCCCGAATCGTTAGAAGCGTCAACTAAATCATCTCAGGGCACTACATTTTCGAAGCTCTAAAGCCCGCGGGTCAGATGTGGTATCTGGATCTCAGCAATGATTTCATTCTAGTCCAATGTTATTCATCATTATGAATTTTAGCTCAGAATGAATAAGCATTAAGCAAAATGCAGCTGAAAAAATGTTCGTCGAACATAGGTACAGCCATTTAAAAAAAGCAAGTTTAGAAAGGTTGGGCAGGCCTGCTCAACTCTCAAAACCAATCGTCAAAAAACAACCCCATTTCTAATCAAATTTTTTTTTTTCAGAAAACAGTCAACTCTCCATATCCTGATGTTCTATATCTTGATATGCGACCACATTTATTCTATATGTTGACAGTTATCTCGGTCCCTTCAAACGGTCTAGTAGGCTAATCTTGTTCTATATCTCGATCTATCTCGATGGTATAGCGAGTTGACTGTAACATTTTTTTTTATCAAAATCCTCATCAAAATTTGAGAAGTTTGCAGTTTTTTTTAGGTGAATAGAAAAAATCTCTGTTCAGACATGGCAGCGTTATGATAGTTTTAGCATTTTTGAGTATCAGACGTTGAGGTTTTGAGAGTTACCGCATCATTTCCATAACACTTATAGCAACGCAAAACGAAATTGAAAACTGAAAAAAAAACACGCTTAAAACGAAAGGCTGGCTATTGAAAGAAAGTGAGCATTCAAAAACGAGGAAATCCACAGCTTCGGTAAAAGTTTGACCCTCATTTTAAAAGCAGTTTTATTAAATTTAGCAGTTTTATTAAAATATGCCTTGCTTAAATAATTGAGTCTTGTCATTTTAGTATAGTTTTCTTTGTTCCAAGGCTTCAAAGTTTGTTATCTCGGTCCCTTCAAACGATCTAGTAGGCTAATCTTGTTGTATATCACGATCTCTCTCGATGGTTCCTTCAATATCGAGATATAGCGAGTTGACTGTAAAAAGTTTTTTTTTTATTAAAACTCTGTAACGTTCATCAAAACTTGAGAGGAGTAGGCTGTGTGTCCGTACGGCCGTGACGTTTGTTTACTTTGTCGCGTTTGGAAATTTGGAAAAATTTAAAATTAATAATTTATGTGAGATACTTTGCCTCGTAATTGGAGCACATTTTCCGCGATTTGAAATTCCAGTGATTCAAATTAATTAGAACGCCTAATTTGTACCATAAAGGTAACTCTAAGACTAGAAAGTCCCGAAAAAACGTGCTCAACTTTTTGACTCAGCTCTGGTACTCTCTTCGGTCTCAAGCTAATCGATGCACCCCTCGAAACATAAGAAAATCCACGATCCCCTAGTTTTATCTGTCAAACTTTCATAGCTAATCAAAACAAACATAGTGTAGTACTAGAATTTCGACTAGAATGGGGTATGTTAATCGATTTTCTTGTGTCCAATAGGCTAGTCAAGTAGTGAGCCAATTTAAAATCGTTTGTTGCCACCGGTTGTTTGTATCGAACAGTTCTGCTGTTGAAAATTCGGTAAAAAATACCGAAGTCGGTAATCATTTCTAAGTGTGCAGGTAGTTGAGAAGTACAAAATGTTGTAACACAACATAGTCACTCACCTAATCATTTTGAGCTACTCAAATAATAAACTATTAATCAATTATTTTTGGGAAATTCTCATACTTTTCAAATCTCTTTGGAGTGAGATGGAAGCATGCTTACCACTACACCTCCGGCACCGCTCAAATCTGCAATAATATTTGAGGGTTTCTTTTTTTCAGTTATAATACAAAACTGTCAAAAATCAGGCAGAAACGAGAATGCATCCTGTTAAAATGTGTCAGATTATTTGAAAATTCACTCTTGAATTATTTATTTCCTCATAGCCGAGCTGGCTTTGGATTTGCGTTGGGTAACTGATATTGAGGTTTATGCCTTGATCTGTGATATGTTTTAATATTATACGATAAAATCACTCGGTAGGTGAAGTTTTTGTTTTTACTATCGGAAATTTCAGCCGTGGGCGATCGTTGCGATTTTCAGAGGAGAAAATTCCCTGGTCACTATTTTTTTTTCGGAATGAAAGTAAAGCCCTTGGTCCTGGCCCATGTGATAATGGGTTCGATTTATAGAATTCAGGTGTTGAGTTGCCTCTCTAGTGTCATTATAATTGCTTATCTTTTGACAGATATGCGTATTTCGTCTACTATTTGCAGACTTCAACAATGCCAAGTACTCAAAACCACTTGAGTTCTTTTCACTGATGAAGTCTGCAAGTAGTAGATGAAATACGCGTATCTGTCTGGCAATTATAACGGAATGAAACGGAAATAAATCATCACATTCAAAAACCTCTTCATAAAGGGATTCCGTTAAGAGGTTCTATAAAATTAAGAGAATGATCTCTAGAATACTTCGTTCAAAAATTACAAAGTAGAACTTCTTAAAAATAAGCCCACTGTACTGAAAGGTGTCATCCACAACGTATATGCCTTGCATTGCTGAGCAACTTCGTGGAAGACATCAAATGACGATGACGTCACCCTGCGCAGGTATTAATCTTGTCCAGCTAGATTGCTGATCTGGCCCACTGTGCAATGGGTCATGTGATACCGTAAGCTACAACTGCCAACAATGATTTTAAACTGAACCTTTTAATTCTTCTAGACTGCCCTTTTGAAATCCTCAAAAATCTCACTGAGTTTACCCAGGTGGACGACACATCTAAAACTCCTAATCCTAAGATGTCCGAATCTGTTCTTCATTATGATTAGCATCCACGACCCTCACGATTAAGGTAAGGAGTTCAAATCTCATCCTAAGAGATGTCCCGAATGACAAATGAAATCATCTTCTAGCATCGCGTTCTATCTTTTTGCAGGACTACTCATCGCGAGTTTTTTTTTTTCATCCAAATGGTTTCCACGCCTCGGGTTACATGTTAGTTATATTCGCAAGCACATTAATAATGTATAACGCAAAAGATAATTTGGCTCTGTAAAGTTTATTCGATTGAGCCTGTACAAATAAATAAATTTAAACAAATATTCGCAAGCAGGACGTCACAATATCAGCTTCAACTAAGGGGTTAGTCACTCCACACGGTGTGTCAAAATCACAGTTGGGCACTCTGGGCACATGCATTGGCACAGTTTGGTACCCTTGGCTACAATTTTTCATGATCTTTAAAGTTACTGGTAACACTGCATTGCCTGTGTGCATTAGTATCAGTCAAGCCATTGTTTACATCTTTTGCATCATCAATTTTTGCGAAACTGCTCAGAATGTAACAGATCTCATTATTTCTTCTTGCTGCCTCAAGAAAATGCCGAAGGTGTTCAATGATTCGATGATGTGATTTCCAGTGTCATTTAGCAGAATGGCAAGAAGCAACCGAGTGAACTAGAGGGCAAGAAGCAGCCTACCAAGATACTACGAATGTTGTCTTCATGCATTGGATAACCTCCGGGACAGGTGCGGAATGCTAACGGATACAATGTAGGTGAATTTGGTGTTGCAGTTCCCCAACTACTTCTTCATTGGTCTTCGTCTGGTCAGCAGCGATTAGATTGCGTGTCGAAGCGGACCTGCGGACCGCGTCTGGAAGCAGCCTGTAAGATTCAGAGCGTCTTGAATCATCAGAAGGCGAGTTTGCGGACGCAGGGGGAAATGTTGTACTTGGGAGGGCGTTTGGTGAAGACTCAAAATAGGTTCCACGATTGATAGATCGACTGTAGATTTGAAATGTACTACCTTTAATTGGCTCCTCTAGCTTCGTGGTTTAGTGCTGCCTTTTATTTCTGCTTTTTGGGGGATGTACTTCCGCAAAGAGAATGATTAGAGCTCGATCTAAGTATCCTGGTTAGTGTACGAGTAGTAACTTAGCGTTGTTCCTGCTTTTGCGCATGACCTTCGGAAGTTCGCATTCGTTGGACAGTTCGAAAGCTATTCACCATAACTGCGGTTTTCATGTTCAGTTACTGCTATGATATGCCATCGAACCATTTTCGGTACTGGCTGGGATTTTGATTTGATTCAAATAAAAACAATCGAGCTGTCAAAAGACCGGGTTGCCAAATATACCATTATTAACAAACAAACGAAGTCATCATGATATCATGAGCTTCGGAAGTTCGTATTCGTTGGAAAATTCGAAAGCTATTCACCATAACTGCGGCTTTCATGTTCAGTTCATTCTATGATAAGCCATCGAACAGCATCGCTACCACGATGAAAACATCAAATTGATCCGACCGATTCAATAAATGGAAACGGCTCAAACGTCGTTCAGTGAACAGTGAACCGTCAAAAAAACTGCGCTTCGTGCTAAAATTTGCTACAATTTGAGGAGAAATACTAAGTAAAAACTTGGAAACCATTTTCGGTACTGGCTGGGCTTTTGATTTGAAACAAATTAAAACACTCGAGCTGTCCAAATACCGGGTTGCCAAACATTCCATCATGTCATCATGTCATCATGATATCTTGGCACTGTCGGCACAGTTGAGGTACACTGACAAAAAAGCAAATTGTTCCCCTATTTGCGTCCATTGCTACAATGAAAGCGCTCTGACGCTCGTTGACGAATCTGCCATACAAGTAAACCACTGAAAGCGGCTCCCGTTCTGGTAGAGGAGGCTTATTTGATAGCGGAAGATAAAATGTTTATTCTGATGTACCTTTTGACTATAGTTTTAAGATGTACTGTATAGTGAACAAGAATCCTCGGCTCTGTAAAGTTAATTAGGTTGAGCCTTACCAAATAAATTATTAATTATAAAAAAATCATCATCATCATAGTCTAGCTAGGCGTTATAGAAATGATGCGTTAAACACGTTTTATAAAAGAAACAAAACTCGAGTTCATTTTAGAGCTTCGAAAATGTAGAGTCATGTTCCCAAGTAACAATCAAGCCCGCTAATTAAAAAAATGCAATATACAAGGCAAATATAAAAATTGAAAGCCGTTTATCAACCTTATATTGCAAAAAAGGCCCTTATCGTGCTAGTAACGAGCTTGGTGGTTACTTGGGTAAATGTATTTTTCCAATCAGTAAGGAAGGGTGGATTTGTGGCTCTATTTTCATTTATCTCACCTTGTTAGAATGGATAATAACCCGAACTGACCTACTTCAGTAGCCGTAACACGGGAAAGGGACTTTTCTGGCTGCTTTGAATTGGTTAATTTTAGGGATTGGTTGAAATACAAACCAGTAGGCGAGGGAAAAAGGTTGCATCCAAATGACGTAATTTGCATCGATTTGGGTATGAATTTATAGGCAAAATTCGGCTCTCAAGTACCATGTCAGGCCTGGATATTTCGGCATATTTTGAATAGAAACCGTATCGTATCCTTCCAAGAATGGTTGGGTAGGTTATCTCAATGGATTTCCGACTGTTTTTCGATTCTTTTGACCAGTCCTTCCGGGGTTATGATGGATAATAATTAACCGAAAGCAAATACTAATCTTCCACAAAATGTGCAAACATTACATTTCCAAGGTTAATTAAATGCTTCTTTCGCCATACGGTCTTTGATCGTGGCGTTGATGGATTGTGTCGTTTTCAAGCGGATTTGTACCCTCCACGTCGGAAAGCCGTAAATTAGTGCCTCTATAATTGTTCGTATCCTTCCATCCGATCCGGTTTCTGTCGCCGGAAGCGAGACTTTTAAGACCAAGCTCGTCGTCGTCGTTGTCGTCGCTGGTGTAAGCCAGTCGAGTCGCTTTCCACCGCTTTTGCCAGCAGCCCACTCGGAATCGAATAAATCACGTTTAATTAGCACATAATTTCCAGCACCGAGAGCTCATTGTAAATCACGGAAGCGTCACTTCCGAAGGCGTAAAACCGACCGACAGAGCGATTCACGCGACGACGCTTCTTCCTTGAATGAAAATGGTTCACACAATACGCATTTGGGTGGATTTTCTTTCATTCCATTGCACCGCTAGAAAACGGAATTCAACAACCTGAATGGTTGCTTTCCGGCACGACGGAGAAATGGAAGTTGGGGAGTTAAATGGACTTTTTAATCTTTGAATCAGCTACCGAATGGACCTTTTCGAGTTGAGGTTTGGCGGTAGATGTCGGAGGCGCACTGGCGTAGTTAACGGGAGTGCCTAGGAAACCAACCCCCTTTCCGAATTGTGTAGCCCCCGTCGAAAAGCAACCGGATGAGGATTGAAACCAGGATGAAGAAAATCAAGACCAAGACCAACAATAGATAGCTCAGATACGTAGCAGTACGGACGCGTGCAACGATGGAAAGGTACAGGAAGGGAACAGAATGTGATGCAAAAAGGATATCCAGCAGTCACTAAACTACTATCAGCTACGGTGGAAATGGTTCGCGGATCTAGCGAGAAGAAAAATACCGGTGAAAATAATCAAAAGCTCAATAATTATACAATTTTATTAGTCCCTCGGCTCCGTAGGGGTTTTAAAGACAATAAGCCTACCAAATAAACATATAAAACAGATAATTTCTCTCTAATTTTTAAAAGCACGGGGCTCAACAAATTTTGGCATCTCAAAATATAAAAATTCTTGTGAAAGTGAAGGATTATTTTAAAACATGGAAAATTCCCTAGCTTCGTCAATGTGAATACAACGAAAGCGCAATATTTCTGGCTAGGGGGACATTTGAGAAGTTCGCTTTCTTTATGGTCTGTAAAGGATTATGGAATGATGGCAAAAGAAAGATAGAGCTTTAATGACTTTTGACGCCTTCGAAAGTGTAACGCTGGGTAGCTCTTTGCTTGAAGTAACTACATACAACTTTATGTCAACAGCGCAAACAGTCTTTAAGTTCCACATGTCTCCTGGTATCTCCGAAACATTTCAACCGGATTAATTTTGGCAATGAAGTGCTTCCATGTAACCGAAAGCATTCTCCATAAACCTGAACAAAGCGTTCTTCTTTCGTTCCGACTCAGCGTCCACCTCCACTGCAATCGTCAGGCTGAGAGCACTTGAGGCTTCACCGCAAAGCATTACCAAATTGCAAGAAAATGAACTCACCAACCGATCCCAGGAAGAGTATTTGGTTTGCATCCCTTGTAGGTGCCTACTTCAAAACAGACTAAGCACACACTTTTCAAGTTCTGCAAATGTTCTCCTCTGCTGTGTCAGTGAATGAAAATGTCGTTTCCAAATTCTCTTTCTCGCACATTCCCGAAAGCAAGGGGATGCAAATGCAACAGAGCTTCCGGATGCAATAAATATGTATGTAATGCACCATGCGGTAGCACAGATTTATTCGGTGCCACAGTGGGATTCCTAGGAAGCTCGGAGAAATCTATTGTTGCCATCATTTCGGTCCTGAATTTGTAACACCATGTAGTTTCCGACGACGACGACGATGGTGGAGAGAGATTCACACCACCAGCCACACAATGTGTATATTTGCATAAACATCGGTTTCGGTGGCACCGACAACAGCAGCAAGTGTGTAGTATACTATTTTGCAAGTGCCACCATCATCTAGTACACCCAGCGATGCCACATATACAGATTTTTACACATGATACCGTAAGGTACTGTAACAAGTTTGTTAGCTCAAAAAATAGTTAATTTTTGGACATCCGTATTTCTGGCATCGCTGAGTGCGTCCAGTAGCTCGGTTACCATGGCAACGGTGCGGTTACCATACGCAAAATAAATGGAATGAACATCAAATGTAAGGAACGATGTCTTACATTCTCTGCATGTTTACAACAAATGGACTGTAGCTTACAAGCAAGTTTTTCCATAATGAATATTATCTTATTAAACCATAACGAGCTGATTTTCTAGCCACAGTGTGTTGGAGTTCGACCCTATTCCCCTACACTCACGGCTGTCACCCGACAGCTGTCATTCGACCGGATGCTATCGTAGTCATCTTGTCATCAGAGAATGAAACGTCATTAGTAATCGCCGGCTGAACAGTATTAATTATAACTTTGTATTCTGTCCTAAAATAAAGTTTATTTGTTTGTTACGTTACATCACTCGGTTCATTCTTACATCGTAGCAAAGTGGCGACGAGGCTGTAAACAAAGTCGTGGCGGTTGTTTTTTGTTTTCTCGCGAAAATCGCGAAAAACGTCGCGTCGAGTACCCTCCGCGTGTTCGCCATGCCTGGGCCACAACCACCAGTACCAGGAGCCGCAGGAAACAATCTTGCAGCTCCTAAGCAACCAACAAGTACTGATGACCCGGATGGCGGAGCAGATGGCAAATATCCAAGGAAATGTCCAGAGCACCAACCAGAACGAGCTAGTTCTAGATTCCCTAGCGAGCAATATTACCGAGTTCACTTACGATATGGAAAAGGGATGCTCATTCGATGCATGGTTCTCCAGATATGCAGAACTTTTTGAGAAGAACGCTGCCAAATTGGACGACGGCGCGAAAGTACGACTAGTGCTTCGAAAGCTCAACCCCGCAGCACACGAAAGGTACACTTCGTTCATTCTTCCCAAACTCTCAAAGGAATTCACCTTCGAGCAAACGATTGCCAAATTGAAAACCATTTTCGGCAGTCCGGTTTCCACCTTCCATCGTCGGTACCAGTGCCTCCAGACGGCGAAGGGGGAAAATGAAGATTTCAAGCTGCAGGAGCTCAAAGAGGACCAGTTTAAGTCCCTTATTTTCGTGTGCGGGTTGAGATCATCTAAGTACGCGGACATCCGGATGCGCTTGCTGTCTAAGATTAACGAAACACAGGACATCACACTGGAGAAGATAGTAGAGGAGTGCAAAAGCATGATTAATTTGAAGAAAGACACTTCGCTAATGGGCAGTCATTTTGCCTCCGCTGCTGGCACTGTTGCATCGCAGCTGTTCGAGCAAGTACCCCACGACAACCGTCACAAGAAGAAGTTTGGCGGTAACAAATCCGACACACCGAAGACACCGTGTTGGTCATGCGGCGGCATGCACTTCTCTAGCCAATGCAGTTTCAAGACTCACAAGAGCCGTGACTGTGGCCGCACCGGCCATAAGGAGGGCTACTGTTCCTGTTTCGCATCCAAGCCGAGTTCTAAATCGTTCAAGGGAAAGCAGAAAAACAAAAACCACCACGCATCCAGGATTGTAACCGTAAAGAACGTGATGCACAGCCGGCGCTATGTGGAGACGGCGATCAACGGAGTTCCGGTTGAAATGCAGCTGGACTCGAGTTCGGACATAACCATTATATCCAGGCAGAACTGAATCAATGTAGGGGCACCTCAAACGTCTCCACCGGACTGTCAAGTGCAAACAGCTTCCGGAGACAGACTAAACATCGAGGCCATGTTCCGAGCAACGTACACTATCGGCGGAACTCATAAGGAAGGTAATTGCTACGTTTGTTGTACTGACCTTTCCCTGAATGTTCTAGGATCAGATCTAATGGATGAGTTTGGACTCTGGGACGTACCATTTTCATCATTCTGCAAGCTGGTCGGTAGCCAACAACCAGATCACCAGGTAGTCGAATTGAAGGCCAATTTCCCCGATGTGTTCACCAATCGTATGGGACTGTGCACCAAAACACAAGTGCATCTCACTCTCAAGTCGGACGCTCAGCCAGTATTCAAACCCAAGCGGCCAGTTTCGTACAACATGGAGGCCGTAGTTGAAGACGAGCTGAAGCGGCTTGAAGATTTGGGTATCATCACACCAGTGACGTATGCAGATTGGGCAGCTCCCATCGTAGTTGTCCGCAAGCCGGATCGCTCCGTGCGCATTTGTGCGGATTTCTCCACCGGATTAAACAATGCGCTCGAATCAAATAGCTACCCGTTTCCACTCCCGGAAGACATATTTAATCGGATGACAAATTGCACGATGTTTAGCCACATAGATCTGTCGGATGCTTACCTACAAGTTGAGATCGACGAGGAAAGCTGGTAGCTCGTCACCATCAACACCCACAAGGGGCTCTATCGTTTCAATCGGCTTTCCCCCGGTGTCAAGTGTGCACCCGGCGCTTTCCAGCAGATCATGGATGCCATGCTAAGTGGACTCCCGTGTACATCTCCATATCTCGACGACATCCTTGTTGGTGGCCGCAACGCCGAAGAACACAAACAGAATCTGTACCGTGTTCTACAGCGCCTTCAAGAGTATGGATTTACGGTAAAATACGAAAAGTGCCGATTCTTCATGCGCCAGGTGAAGTACTTGGGCCAGCTTCTGGATACAGAGGGCATTCGTCCGGACCCGGACAAAGTGAAAGCAATCGTCAACATGCCTCCTCCCCACGATGTTCCAACGCTTCGTTCGTACTTAGGTGCGATAAACTATTACGGAAAATACATTCAGGAAATGCGTACACTATGCTAACCGCTGGATGAGCTGCTCAAGGAGGGTTCCAACTACCAGTGGTCCGACGCTTGCCAGTGTTCCTTTGATCGTTTCAAGGAAATCCTCCAGTCGCCGCTCATGCTGACGTCAAATGTGGGCATTGGGGCTCGCATTGCACACCGATTTCCAGACGGATCAGAGAAGGCTATTTACCATGCATCCCGAAGCCTGACGCCAGGTGAATCCCGGTACAGCCAGATAGAGAAGGAAGCCTTGGGTCTGGTGTATGCGGTCACAAAATTCCACAGAATGATCTTCGGAAGGCAGTTTGTTCTTCAGACCGACCATAAACCGCTGCTAGCGATTCTCGGTTCAAAGCGTGGAATACCTCCGTGCACAGCTAACCGGCTTCAAAGGTGGGCCCTCACTATGCTTCTGTATGACTTTCGGATCGAGTACATTTCCACTGACCATTTCGGACATGACATCCTTTGACATCCTTTCTCGCCTAATCAACTCACATATTAAGCCGGACGAGGACTACATCATTGCGTCGATTGAGGTTGAAACTGTAATCTGCAACATCGTCTGCCAGTCTATCGAGCATCTTCCTATCTCGTACAAGACGATAGCGAACGAGACCAACCAGGATCGGACATTGCAGAAAGTCATGGATTTCGTGCACAAGGGCTGGCCAAGTGATTTCAAGTCTCTCTCCGGAACACCGGAGTTCCAGCAGTTCTTCGCACGTCGAGATTCGCTGTATGCTGCCCACAAAGTCCTGATGTACAGTGACCGGATCGTAGTCCCGAAGAAGCCGCAGCAGAAAATTCTCCAACAACTGCACAGAGGACATCTAGGGATCGATCGCATGCGTTCGCTAGCGCGCAATTTCGTTTATTGGCCCAATATCGATGACCAAATCACCACGCTAGTACGCGCTTGTCAGGAATGCGCCTCGGTCGCAAAAACTGACACTAAGACAAAGCTTGAATCGTGGCCGGCCCCCGAGAAACCTTGGCAGAGAGTACACGCAGATTTCGCTGGTCCCATCAATGACACATACTTCCTACATACTTCCGACCAAACGCATAACCACCGCTGCTATAGTGTCGAGTCTTCGAAAGATCTTCGGAAGATTTGGTATGCCGGAAGTTTTGGTGACCGACAACGGTCCGCAGCTTACAAGCGACACCTTCGAGGACTTCTGCGAGACAAACGGGATAATGCATCTCAAAACAGCACCGTTCCATCCCCAAAGCAACGGACAGGCGAAACGCTTTGTTGACACCTTTAAAAGGACTGTCAAGAAGATTCAGGCTGGAGGGGAAGACCTGGACGAAGCACTCGATATCTTCCTAAATTGCTACAGATCAACACCCTATCGTAGTGCGCCCTAGAATGTGTAGGACGAGTAATGTATAATGTGTGGCTCCCGGAACGGCAACGTTTAATCCGCTCACACAGCAATCAGCTACGGAAACGTTATGACGATTGTAATGGAGGACCCGATCAAGCAGAGCAAACATTCCACTTATTATTCTGCTAGACACTTGGGGTCTGAAGCCGTCGGAAGATTCGACTGCTACTGGAGCAGCACCACCACCAGCTGAACCGGAAGGGTAAAATCACTGCAGCTTGAGTTCTTGCGAGGGCTCTTCGAACCGTCTACTCCACAACGTCGAGCTCGAGTTCCATTTCGAGTACCTGATCCAGATGAAACACTCCTGCGTCGCTCGTCGAGACAACGGCATGCACCGGTACGCTACGAGCCGTACCAGCTCTTCTGAAAGGGGAGGTGTTGGAGTGCGAACCTATTCCCCTAGACTCACGGCTGTCACCCGACAGCTGTCATTCGACCGGATGCTATCGCAGTCATCAGAGTATGACTAATTATAACTTTGTATTCTGTCCGAAAATAAAGTTTATTTGTTTTTGCCGTTACATCACTCGGTTCATTCTTACATTGTAACACAGTGCATTAGAGGTAACAAACTTTTTTCGAAAAATTATAACTAACATAATAATTACAAACCACACCACGGCGACCACATCACAGAATCGGTTCATGCGGTGAAACATTACAAATTCTGCATGCTTTATATGCTCATCTGTAATTGAATCTAACAATTCTCAGTTGGGTGTACGCGTGCAGCGTTTGGTTCGTGGCAAATAATACCATTCCCACCGAAAAGACTCAACTTCTGGGTGCAATCAGTGTGCGGCAGTCGGGCAGTAGTGTTTCGCAAATATTCACTTCAACACTGCTATTGCATACTTGCAGGATACGAATGGTTGCTTCAAGTTTGTTTCCAACCCCGATCCGAAGACAATTCTCCAGTGTCTTCAAATCTCGGCAGCAGATAATCCTAAATAATGGAAGCAAAGTTCAAGTTATTGGTCTTGAGGAAATCCATCAGTAGTCGGAGAAGTTTTATTGATATTGCAATAATGTTGCCGTTCTTTTGTCCGTAACTCATCCAATCATGGCCGGGTGGGTCCGGGTAAAGTCCTTCGATTGCTGTCAGCAGAAGCAGTTCTGTTAGTGAATTATTTTTCAGTCCGTGATGGAACCCGGGAGCACGTTTCAGCGTCACACTGATTGGAGGATCGGGGCATTTCCTCGTAATAAATTATCAATGTTCTGTATTGCGTCATTTTTTTTTATGCTGCTGCTGTGTGCCTTCAGCACTTGTGTCCGGGTGCCTGGATGCTGGTTCGAGCAGAACTCTGAGCCATTTACATCGTAGGTACTATTGTTTTTTTTTTCTGCACACTCCCCATCATTCGTTTGGATTTCCTTTGTAGGACCCAGACCCAGACAGAATCAGCTACGTTCCAAAGCATTCGATATTGTTCGGTAAATCGATTTACATTTTTGTCCCTCTCACTGCCATACTCTGTGCAATGTTTTGCGAACAAAGTCAATTTTATAGCCACTTGAGTCAAACGATGGGTGAAATTGTGACAGCGGCGCATTTTTTATCGGGAAATTGACGGGGCCGTTCCTCTCAATTTATCTTACTGCTTCAACTGTAAGCAGGTTTGCACTCGCCGTTTGTCTATCGAATGATTAAGGTTAAGCATCATTTCGTTTCTTTATTAGCTATTTGAGATATGCTGATTGCAAAAAAAAAACAAATCCTGACCAACCGGTGACAAGTACGTTTTTCGTATAATACTGAATAGCATCATTTTATAATCTGGTCCCTATTGGAGGGGTATCGCTGGACATTAAATACTGCTTCACTAGGAGTATTTAAAGCATTATCCGTGTGTAAGAGAAAGATTAAATTGGAAAATTAATCGTCCAACGGAACCATATCTAGGAACTGTTGACGCTGCATTCGTTCAGACACACAAGACAACCCTTCGGAGAAGCAATCGGACCATCTTTCGAAGGAAATTCGATGCTGGGATTGTCTTCAGACTGAATATTGATATAGTTGTCATCCTTTCTTCCGCGTCTGTCTGCTTTCGGAGCGCTGATGGATGGCATTGTGACGACGATGCTCGCTGCTTCAACCAATTTGCCCAGCCAATCTCCGAATTCCGAAAGCGTAACACCGCTTAGTTCTTGCCGGTGGTACGCCCAGTTCAGCCTGATAGATGGCGGTAATCTTTCGGTCAATTCTTGGAGCAAGGCTACGTTTCACATATACTCGTTCAGTCCTGAAGCTGTGATGGTGGCGCAAACGTTCTGAACCGCCACTCCGAAGTCGATCAGTGTATTTTCCGCTTTCGGTGCTGGCATCTCCCGAACTTTGTTGACAAGCGAGTGAATAATTATGTCAAACAGCGTCTTCAGTGTCGAAGTTAATCCCGGTAATTTGCCGGATGCTTTACCCTTCAGACTTCGTTGGAGTCGTAGCATGTTTTCCTCGTTACTAAAGCCGTAGATCCTGGTTGAATTCTCGTAGCTCGCTATTAAAAGTGGCAGATTACCGGAAAATGTGGGAAGCTCCTTGTTGACAGCTTGATGTGCCGAAACCTGACTCTGGTTTAGCGAAGGAACATCGAAGAAACCGTTTACGTTCGGTTGGAATACTGTCGCCTCATAGTTCAGTCCGGCAGTTCCAGCAGCTGTCGCATGCCGTTGTAGAAGCTGATTTCGCTTCTCCAACTACTTCTTCTCTAATGCTTACTTCTCTTCGGAGTTGCTTGATCTCTTTTTTTCTCGATTTGTTTTCCGTGCTGAGCACCAATGCTACCGACACCAGGGAGGCAGCTCCCACACCTGGACCCTACCTATCGACCCATCGACTCATGAACCGTGGACCAACGGCTTTACTTCCCGTGATCAGAGATGTTATGTCTCAGAACATCCAGGCGGCGCCGACTGGGATTGAGAACCCAGGCCTGCTGGAGTGAGGGGTAATCACGCTTACCACTACACCACCGGCGCCGCTTGCTTGATCTTTTTGTGTACGTTGTTTTTATCCTTAACGAACACGTAGAGTTCATCGATCTTCCTCCTGACCTCCGTCATTTTGGTTCTCCCAAGCTGCAGATCTTGCTACAGCTGGATATCGGTGTGAATATCTGGCTTAGCCCAACGCCTGGCTGCTCTCCTTGGAAACTTTGGAGTCCTCTGCTCACATTGGGAC